CAAATCATCATCATCATCATCATCATCATCATCATCATCATCCAAAGCATCATCATCATCATCATCCAAATCATCATCATCATCATCATCATCATCATCATCATCATCATCATCATCCAAATCATCATCATCATCATCATCATCCAAAGCATCATCATCATCATCATCATCCAAATCATCATCATCATCATCATCATCATCATCATCCAAAGCATCATCATCATCATCATCATCATCATCATCCAAATCATCATCATCATCATCATCATCATCATCATCATCATCATCATCATCATCATCATCATCATCATCATCATCATCATCATCATCATCATCATCATCATCATCATCATCATCCAAAGCATCATCATCATCATCATCATCATCATCATCATCATCCAAATCATCATCATCATCATCATCCAAAGCATCATCATCATCATCATCCAAATCATCATCATCATCATCATCATCATCATCATCATCATCATCATCATCATCATCATCATCATCATCATCATCATCATCATCATCATCATCATCATCATCATCATCATCATCATCCAAATCATCATCATCATCCAAATCATCATCATCATCATCATCATCATCATCATCATCATCCAAATCATCATCATCATCATCCAATCATCATCATCATCATCATCATCATCATCATCATCATCATCATCATCATCAATCATCATCATCATCATCATCATCATCATCATCATCATCCAAATCATCATCATCATCATCATCATCATCATCATCATCATCATCATCATCATCATCATCATCATCATCATCATCATCATCATCATCATCATCATCATCATCATCATCATCATCATCATCATCATCAATCATCATCATCATCATCCAAATCATCATCATCATCATCATCATCATCATCATCATCATCATCATCCAAATCATCATCATCATCATCATCATCATCATCATCCAAATCATCATCATCATCATTCCAATCATCATCATCATCATCATCATCATCATCATCATCATCATCATCATCATCATCATCATCATCATCATCATCATCATCATCATCATCATCATCATCATCATCATCATCATCATCATCATCATCATCCAATCATCATCATCATCATCCAAATCATCATCATCATCATCATCATCATCATCAATCATCATCATCATCATCATCATCCAAATCATCATCATCATCATCATCATCATCAATCATCATCATCAATCATCATCATCATCATCATCATCATCATCATCATCATCATCATCATCATCATCATCATCATCATCATCATCATCATCATCATCATCATCATCATCATCATCCAAATCATCATCATCATCATCATCATCCAAATCATCATCATCATCATCATCATCATCATCATCATCATCATCATCATCATCATCATCATCAATCATCATCATCATCATCATCATCCAAATCATCATCATCATCATCATCATCATCATCCAATCATCATCATCCAAATCATCATCATCATCATCATCATCATCATCATCATCATCATCATCATCATCATCATCATCATCATCATCAATCATCATCATCATCATCATCCAAAGCATCATCATCATCCAAAGCATCATCATCATTATCATAATGGTAATAATTGATTCATATTATTCTATTACAGTGTTTATTACAATTATATTTGATTGCATCAACCCCAATTCAATGGTATAAACATTATACAATACATAGTTGTATATATATATTTATAGCTACTTATAATTTGGTAAGTATTCTATATTCCATATATATCTGTATATCTAATTGGATTCAATTAGGCATCATTTCATATCTATTGGATGGTGTATTATATTGATTCAGATGTCATAATCAAGAATCCAGTATTGAATAAATTACCATTATATTATATGCATTTAATTGTAAGTTAATTGATTGTATACTTATTATATTATCATTGTTAAATTTATGATCATTCACCTCGTCAGTGATCTACAAGTTAAATGTTCGTGCTCGAGACTAAAGGTCCTAGGTTTGAATCCCTTGAAAAGGATCATGAATGTGTACTGTTGAAGAGTCTTACAATAGGATAAAACATACATCCAGTGTTTCAGGGTTTCCAATGATGGTCTAACACCAATCGATTCATGAATTGTTGATAGTAAATTCAAAGAAATAAATAAATATTCAAGTGTTATCAGAAGGGTTTGTGTGGAGATATTAGAAATTTCACTGGTTGAAATCAAGCTAGACCAGCATGGAAAACCTGGAAGCACTGAATGGCCGTTTCGTCCTAGCATGAAACTTCTCAACAGTGCGCATCCACGACCCCGCTCCCAACGAGATTCGAGTCCAGGACCTATCAGTCTTGTGCCAGGCGCTTAACCAACTAGATCACTGAGCCGGTATCCAACGGTGTTAATGTCTAACTTCAACCAATCCAGGAAGTTGCACCACCGTACACCATTGTCTTCATCGTGGATGCGCACTTATATACTATCTCCACTTCTAGTCGTTTAGTTTCGCTTTTCTCTTCGCTTCGTTTGCTTTATATGCCTATATTTTAATAGTGATTAACATACGATCTAATTGAAGTTAGATGTTGAACCACCTCAAATACATTACAATTTGATCGATTTATATCCGATCAAAATTAAAACAAATCCAATATTGATCATGATTCAATAATCAATCTATTTGTAGATTCTACTCATTTATCAAACTATGAACATATATACAAATATAACATTACTCCTACACATAACAACATAGCAGGTTTATATTACAACTATTGCATAAGAGACTGCTATATATCGACCAAAACACTATAACATTGTCACATCTGATTGATCACTTGGGTGGTGATCAATGTCATGCGTGTCTATTCCCTATTAGTGCAGATCGATTAAGTCCAACCACCATCTGATCTCACAATAGTACCCTCAGTGTCGAGTCACTTAGACTGGTGGCTACATTGCAACATGGTCGATAGCATTCGATCTGCACTAATAATAAGGACTAGACACTCATGACATTGATCACCACCCAGTGATCAATCAATTGTGATAACATCTCAGTCCTACAGAAGGTCGGTCTCGACCCGGATAACTCAGTGGTAACGTCTTTGACTGTGAAGCTGGGTGACATGGGATCGAATCCGTTAGGGAGCACCAGTTCCCTCAAAGATTACAGGTATACCTTGCTGACGAGTGCCAAGTAGTACCAAACCCGGGTCCAGGGTTTCCTGTTGACTACCTCCAACCACCATCTAACTAAAACATTGTGTTGTATAATAAACTTAATTTAATTATACTCAATATTGTGTTTGGTCCTTTTGTATTAGCTACAATTATATTCATCATTCAATATGGCTATGTCTTTTCTAAAGAAGTAACCTTACAATAAGGCTTATTACAAATATATAATTAAGAATATAAACGGAAAATGTCAGAAAATCATAAAGCAAATAGCGGATTTGTTATATCCGGACATGGAAGGGATAGAAGAGGGGGTCATACATTTCTTCTGTACATATAAATTTGGGGTTAAATCTATGAATTCCTATGACTTGAGCTATATTTTAGGAGATGGGAATGAACTATGTTGGGTAATGATCAAGGTGTATGGTAGATCATTTAAAAGGATTCTGATTTATCTACACTATGACCGCTATCGATTAGATGTGCAAAGATAGAATTGTGTATTTTTTTAACTGGCCCTTTATAAACCATTCTGGTAGATGTTCACTCATTCGTTGGTTAACCTACCGTACACCGTACAGTCATGGTGTATATGAATCAGTCGGTTTAATTGAATTATGAATCTCTGATGTAATTATTCCCTTTTTCTTTAGATCGTTAAAAGAATTTGCCAATTATTATTCTACTTTTTATGGATATCATAATTACTAGTAACTTTTTGAAATTGCCTAGGATCACTAAGCATTACTTCTATGTTTTCAATGTAATCCTTTTTGTTTATCAGAACTATACCTCCTCCCTTATCTGATTTGCTTATGATTCAACGTTTCATTTTTTTCTTACTATCGTTGAAGAGTCTCTGTGTTGCTTGGTTAGTAGATGATTTGTGGTACCCTTACTATTCTTCTATTGTTGACAGCTATTAACTAACGTGGTTTCGAACCTAGCTAGATCCTCTAATGAAGTAGGAATCAAGTCAGCATGGTTTATGAAAGGACAGTTAAAAAACAATACACAATTCTATCTTTGCACATCTAATCGATAGCGGTCATAGTGTAGATAAATCAGAATCCTTTTAAATGATCTACCATACACCTTGATCATTACCCAACATAGTTCATTCCCATCTCCTACAATATAGCTCAAGTCATAGGAATTCATACATTTAACTCGTAATTTATATGTACAGAAGAAATGTATGACCCCCTCTTCTATTCCTTCCATGACCGGATATAACAAATCCGCTATTTGCTTTATGATTTTCTAACTCGTTCCGTTTGTATTCTTCATTATGTAATGATTTACACACTTCTTATTACGTAATAATTTAAATATTTTGCAAAAATATACAATTATAAATACACATCTTGGGTTCGAATCTCACGAGATAGAATCGTGAATGTATACTGCACATTGAAGAGTCTCATACTAGGACGAAATGTCTGTCTAGTACTTTCACATTATCCATTGTAATCTAGCTTTCATTGCTTGATGAATTCAACTATTAACACTTACTTATCATATCCATAGAAACTCTTCTTTGATTCATAAATATTGATTATCATGAATGATTAATTCATATTTGTAATTATCTATATTTCTTTACAGAATTCCATGGGAGTGATCGTAATTATTACGGATGCATTAATATGGAAACCAAAACGAATACCCTTTTTAGTTTCATACATTCCTTGTTGTACATTTATTACTATATACATAGCATAGTAAGTTCAATTATTATTATATATATACAGAGAGACCTACTTTAGCCTTGGTGAAAAAAAAAGCCTGTCTACATCACCTTACCATTTAAAAGTGATTCAAATAGCTTTTTTGTTGAAATAATGGCTTAAATCTCCCTCTCGAAATGCTCTTACATGGCCATGCGTATATAGCTTCTGCCAGGGAAGTTCTACTCACTGAATTCTCGTGGCGGGGGTGTTGTCTACGAAAATGAGAGGACGAAAAGCGAATGTCCGGCGCTTTAACCGGATTCCAAACCAATGGTGTATATGGGCTCCAGTATCGTGGAGGAACAAATGGCGTATGAACCAGTCGTTGGTCACAGGCTACCATGGGATTGAATCTCCTTACGATGCTCCATTGCCTTGTGAGTCAGACGTTTAGGTAGAAGGCTCTGGGTGTGGCCCCCTAACAAAACCACCTGCTTCGATTTGGGCACCCGAACAGTATCACAGCCCTCCCACAAATCAATTGAGATTCGTGTGGCGCATACGTATTTGGTGCCTCCTTGTACTAATATCTATGTGTTAAAACAAATAAATAATTAAATAAAGGCTTAAATCAGTCATCAACAAAACGTATTGCTCAGCAAAGGTCATTATTATAAAGAAAGAATAAGGTAGTGGAGAAGATTTGTAGCTCAAGTGGATGATAAAAGTTTATGCTGATGATATCATTCAGAAGAACGATGAAAGCTCCACGATCAAACTATCCAGTTCAAAGAACAAAACTTCATCAATATCATCTATGTGAGCTACAAATATTCTCTACCATCTCAAAATCACACAAAGTGTATATCATACACACATTGGGAAAATCAGAATGGAAATAACCAGGTTTTCCATAGTGATATAGCTTCAATTGACTCATGAATTCAACTATTAAAATTATTATAATATCCACAAGACTCCTGTCTGATTATAATCATCCTATGCTCACTATCGACTGTCTTCAAGAGGTATTTTCTGGAGTTCTACTGAGAAGCAGTGACCCATGGAGTTCAAATGGGTCTGTTGTGAGATATCAACTTACTGAGGACAATAGTGGACAGTGGCGCAATTTCGTGGATTGGTTGAAGTTAGATATTAACACCGTTGGATGCCGGCTCCGTGGTCTAATGGTTAATTGTGAGACTGAAAGTCCATGGTTCGAGTCCTACGTGAGGGATCGTGGATACGCACTACTGAGTAGTCTCATACTGGAATGAAACAGCCGTCCAAGGCTTTTAGGTTTTGAATAGTGGTCTAATATCATTCGGTTCATGATCTCAATGAAAGACATTTTTTTGTTTTTCAATTCTATAATTTATTTTTGGAAGTACCAAATCAATTCTACTTGAAAAATATCATAATATCTCATTGTGTCACAAATATAAACTATAAGTAATAGATGAACATTGTAAGAGAGAGAGAAAGAGAAAGTTAATTACTCATTCTATTGAACCCATCTTTCAAATCAGTCAGTCAGTTACAACGTAGGACCAGACTCATATAAGCATCCATTCAAGTCGTCATACCTCATTTGCACAGCAAGATGAACACCGGATACATAGAAGCAGTTAACTCAATAGTGTAATATATAAAGGCAAGATTGAATATAAGGATATAGTAGAGGAAAAAATTATTTGGTAGAAAGAAGGGTATAAAGCAATTTTAATCTCTTAGTTTAAGGGAAGACAGAGAGTGTATACACCTACGCCATTGTGATCGATTCTGAGCCATGTCACCCAAAGTCTCCAACCATTGGTTACGATAGACATGCGGACCCCAACCAAGTAGTCCACATCTAACAACATGGCTCAGATCAAAAGTTGATGTTTTCAAGCACTGATGCCACATTTTGGTTTGACCATCCCTAACTTTCTTCCAATCATCCCTAACACCGGTTAGCATTGTGCGTCGTGGTAATCGGTGTTCAGGCATACGTAACAGGTGGCCTAACCATCTCAGTCGATGAAGATTCATAATTTCATCACATAGAAAATTTCTATCTAAAATTTATACTACAAATAATAATGTTATTCAAAGATGGTAGAGAAGATTTATAGCATTAGGTGAATGATTTTCATAGAGTTTTATTCTCTCAGGTAGGAGATGATTTGATCGTGGAGCATTCATCATTCTTCTTCTGAACGATATCATCAATTTGAAGTTTGTGTTGAATGATGAAAGTTTCACAATTAAATCATCCAATTCAGTAAACAAAACTTTATCAGAAGTTCTCATTCAATCAGTTATATCTATAAATTGAATATTTCGTTTTTATTCTTCCTTTTTGTTTTTCTTTTTTTTCTTTTTTTCTTCTTTTTTTTCTCTACTTTTCATATTTTTCTTTTTTTTTTCTTTTTAGCTTAGAGATAACAGATGTATTAAATGATTATGTAGAATCAACCAATTCTGTTTTATTATCATTTGTATATCGTTTTTTATATTATTTATTATTATGGTTTATCATAACCATATACAATACTGTCAGTTATGGATTCATTCGTTTACTTCATTTTAAGAAAAATAATAATCACGAACTAATAACTTCTTCATAGTTTACTATAAAAAACCAAAAAAAAAAGAAAAAAGAAAAAAAGAAAAGAAAAAAGAAAAGAAAAAAGAAAAGAAAAAAAGGAAAAGAAAAAAAAGAAGAAGAGATTGTACAATATAAGTTGTATGAATGTGATTTCTTTCAAGTGAATTATAAAATCAATGAATATTGATTTATGATTGTTATTGATTTATTTGGACATATAAATATTTGATACAATAGGGGGTATTGAATAGATATATGTCATATAAGTCATTTGATTTGTGTGTGTGTGTGCGTGTGTGTGGACTGTGATACTGAGATAGTGGAGAAGAGTTGTAGCTCAAGTGAATGATTTTGATGAAGTTTTGTTCTTTAAATTGGATGGTTTGATCGTGGAGCTTTTATCATACTTCTTCTAAACAACATCAGAATTAGCACATGAATATCAACGAGCAGTCAAATGTCATGATATCTCCTCATTTGTATCAATAGATGTGGATAACTGCGGACACTCATTTGATTGGAAAAATGTGGAAATCTTGGATAGAGGAAGTTTCAATAAACATCAGAGAATTTTTTAGGAACCTGGCATTTAGATCAATCAGCAATCAACAAACACATTGAAATCGATCTAATTTATCAACCAATCAGAAAAGTTATACACAAATATAGGAACAAGAATCAAACCAATAGGAGACACAATCAAAACAAAGAAGTAAACAGTGAGAAATTTAAGGTCAATAAGAACCAATCAACATCGAGGTGTACAGAACAAGCTGTGAAACGCATATAGAGAAATTTGCTGTGGATGATGTCGTTCAGGAGAACGATGAAAGCTCCACGACCAAACCATCCAACTCAAAGAACAAAATTCTATCAAAAACTGTAATACTGCTTGGATGCTCAAATTGAATAAGATGGTTTTTATACAGGGGGAGAGCAACAACTGGAGCATTTCAACAGAAGGTCTAATCCATAATGTAGTAGAGCAATATTAAAAGATGTAGTCTCATAGTAATCAATGACCAGAAAGTGGTTCATACATTATTTGTTTCTTTAGGATCCTGGAACTTGTGTGAACCATTAGTTTGGAATTAGGGTTTTTCAACTCCCCTAAGTACACTATCTGTGTTCATCAATCCGGTTAATGTATTGAACATTATCTTATTATTTTCTGAATTTTGTAAACAACAACCCTCATTACGAGAAGGCATTTAGTAGGATTTCTGTGAGAGTGATTGTATATGCGTGACTATGTGAGAACATTTCGAGAAGGAGAGTGGAATCTCGCCGTACCAAGGTATTTGGACATTATTTATTATTGTGTATATACATATTAGTTGTATCCTCTTAGAAATGTATCTACGCTGTTTGTATACTCCATTCATATAGTATGGGACTCCTCAGCAGTGTGCATCTACGATCCCGCATGTAGGGATCTAACCATGAACATTCGGTCTCGCGTGTAACACCTAGTCTCTAGACCACTGAGTCGGTATCTATTGGTGTTAATGTCTAACCTAAATCCATCCATGATCTTACGCAACCCATCATCCATTGTCTGAGATGGATAACTATCTCACACTCGACATGGATTAGACTCCACTGGTTACGGCTTCTCACTAGAATTCCAGGACATCCATCTTGAAGATAGTCACTAGTTAGGATATGAATATCATAAAAGTGGAGATTGTAGTATTTTCAAAGTTGATTTCACGAGTTGATCTAAGCTGGATCGCTATTGAAAACCTGAAATCACTGATTGACGATTTCGTCCTAATATGGGACTCCACACGATATGGGATGTCTAAGAGTAAAATTTAACCATCGATACACTTTAAAATCAAAAGTCAAGTTTAAACCTTCTAATTGCTGTGACTTTTTTTCAAATTCCTATGATGTAGAATGTATTTATCTCATCCATTTCACCTTCAATCTCAATCAAATATCATATTATAGAACTGCGAAGAGTATCTTACTCTTAAAGGAATACATTCTATGTAATATCATCAACAAAACATATGAAAACCTGCTTTCCTGTCCTTTCAATATACAGACCTTTGCATTGACATATAAACTGATATAAGCAGTTAGAGATGACATATAACATGGTAAAGATTAGACATGTATCTACATGACTGATAATATTGATTATACATTTATCATACCTTTCAAGCTACTATATATATAAATATATATATATTCCTATAAACTATTTCAAAAGACTTATATTGAAGAGAACGTCTATTGATATTCCATCTACATTTTGGATATAAGTTCAATACAGTTGATCATTCTAGTCTATGAATAATGACAATCTGACTGTTTATAAATTTTAACCATCTAATCGATAGAACTAATGAAGACAAATTAAGAGTTACCTAGGCTTAATTGAATTCAGGTAATCAGATCTTCTCATTGATGTTTAGGACTGTAATTGATCAGTTTTTTGTAGGTATATGTGAATACTGTGCGTATTGCCTTAATTCAAAAGTTTTTTAAGCAAAGATGGATAGTGGCTAGTAGTGGAATTCGAAACGCATGCCATTTCGTCTTATTTGAGACTCCTCAGATGGATGTACAGGCATCTGAGTTGATGTTCACTGAGAGCCGAACCCAATACCGTTCACTTCAAGAGACGTCATGTTATCCATTAAGCTACTGAAATCTGATAGCCACTTGCTTGTACAATGGGATGCAACTGGTCAGTCTCTTGAGGCGAACAGTGTTGGGTTCGAGTCCTACAATGAACATCAACTCTGAGATACAGGTACGTCCGCTTGGCACTCGTCAGCAAGATGTACCTGTAATCTTTGAGGGAACTGGTGCTCCCTAACGGATTCGATCTCGTGTCACCCAGCTTCACAGTCAGAGACGTTACCACTGAGTTATCCGGGCCGAGACCGACCTCCTGTAGGACTGAGATGTAATCACAATTGATTGATCACTGGGTGGTGACCAATGTCATAAGTGTCTAGTCCTTATTATTAGTGCAGATCGAATGCTATCGACCATGTTGCAATGTGGCCACCAGTCTAGGTGACTGGACACCGCGGGCACTATTGTAAGATTAGAAGGTGGTTGGAGGGAGTCTACAGGAAACCCTGGACCCTGGTTTCGTGCTACTTGGCACTCGTCATCAAGGTGTACCTGTAATCTTTGAGGGAACTGGTGCTCCCTGGTGGATTCGATCCTTTGTCACCTAGACTGGTGGCCACATTGCAACATGATCGATAGCATTCGATCTGCACTAATAATAAGGACTAGACACGCATGACATTGACCACCACCCAGTGATCAATCAATTGTGATACAGGTACGTCCATCTGACGGGTCCCAAGTAGGAAGAAACGCTTTTCGTGGATTTCACTGCTGGCGACCATTTATCTTTATTCATAAAGCTTGTGACAATATTGAGACAATCCGTACAAGATGCACATATAACAACAATTGCAGTCCTAAACAATAATTGGAATCTTCAAGCCGAAAGGAGAAGAGGAAGACCAAAGAATACATTATGCCAAGAAATGGAGAAACATATGAGGAAAATGAACAAAAATTGGATAGAACTGGAAATGGAAACCCAGAACAGAGTGAATCAGAGAATGTTAGTCGGCAGCCTATGCTCCATTAGGAGTAACAGGCGTAAGTAAGTAAGTAAGTAATAAGCAAACAACACCAAGTGAATTCATTCTATATTATATTTTATTTCTTACTTCTATTCCTTTACAAAAACGATTTTTCACCTATTAGTATTAGTTCAAGGTGAACTTATGTAGTTTTATTACAAAAAAAAAACTTATGAAATGCTAAAGTATTATCCATTAGAAACTGGGGTCTTTCTTCTTCTTCTACTACTTCTTCTTCTTGTTGTAGTAGTACTATGATAACTCTGTCATAGTATGTCGCCATAATGCAGCCATATATATCCATATAGATAGAACTGGTCCTGGATAAGCTTTTACATATACATTTAATGCATATTGAATATTTAATGAATCTGATTGTAATAAATGTAATGAATTCAATGATGATTTTGAATGAAATATTGAATCTATTGTACTATTTAATGTAATTTTTGAATAATCCATAATTGAACTAGTTCTTTGTTGTATTGATTGACTATAATCAATAATATTAGATGGTATTATATATTGATTACCAATTAATTCATGAATACCTTTTGATTTAACTCTAGTTATTATTTCATCAGGTTCCATATATGAGAAATTCATTGGAAATCCATAAATCTAAATATGTTAAAATATGATAATAAACAATATTTATTGATACGTATAATAGGTTATTTAAGTAATAATATATGTTATGTTGATGATTAAGATGATTGAGCAGTCCAAGTTGTTAGGTTCAAGTCATAGTCCACTTTGTGGTCATGGGTTCGAATCTCACTCTTGATATTATACACTACATGTTATGTTCCTTTAAATGATAAAAAAAAGCACGTAAGATTCCTATATACCGATCACAGATTCATTTGTTTTGTTATGAGTGAAATTTTAAGTGTGAAAGTCATCTTTGTCACTTTCTGGCTGTAAAAGATCAAATCAACAACGTGGTCAGTAAAGGCAGTTATGATCTATGTTTTTGGAACCTTACCTCTCTCAGCTGAGAATGTTAGAGGACTCTCAGTCAGTCAGTCAGTCAGCAGTCAGTCAGTAACAACGTAGAACTTCATACGTACGTACGTCAGTTCGAATTGCCATACTACATTAGCGCATAGATACAGTTGTCGATTCAAATCCCGTAGTGGTAGATGTAGTAAGAGTATAAGCAGTAATCGGAAAAATTAGCGTTTGATCATCGTTATCTCCGAGGGATTATTGATATCCAGTAGCAATACCATATTTGTAATACAGAGGTTTTGTATCGTGTATTCGGACACAGCAACAATAATTCAATTGATATCAATATCTTGAAACGTCGACTTCGGTGGTTTGAATATAATCTACAAATGTCGTCCTAGAGAATTCCATGTCGTGCATTATTTGCTGACACTGGAACTGGTTGAA